TAATCTATGATCGCTTTTAACTTATTCTTGTTATTTTTTAATCCATTGATATTGTGAAACCCAATGTTCATCATATAGAATTGTTCATATCTATCTTTCTTTTCAATTGTCCCCTATCTATCTTTATTCTCCGAAGACACAACCTCGCCTTTACTCTCGACCCCCTCGTTTGTCTCTAGGGGTTTCATTGTTGCACCTGGGGTGCCCTTAGAAGCGATTCGCAAGATTGTCTCTTGCGGGTATTATATGAGATAAGCTGTCTTGCCCTTCTAGCTTGTCTAGTCTGCCTATAATTTGCAGTAACATGAATTGAACTGTATCCTCATGAGTTGACTGGTTCTTCGAAGCCCCCTCATTATAGTTTCTGTAGTTGGGTTTTATGTTCTCCTTATTTTTGTTTCTTTTGTTCAAAAATGAAGCAGGAGAATCTAATTTGTTGGTTGCTTTAATTTTGCTATCCCCATTCCGCGTATAAGAGTTTTCTTTTCTCTCTGCTATCCTTTCTCTTTCTTGTTTAAGTAGATGATTCCTGGATCTTTCTCTTTTGTTGAAGGCGGAACTGTTGGATTCTTCTTTTATAACATCTGTTGTACCCCATTCTAGTCTTGTATTGTAGTAATATATTCTTTTTGCCAGTGCTGCTAATAGCTCTTCTTTTGATTTAAAGACCATGGATGCTGTGCTTCTCTGGTTTTTGTTCTGGTCGTGCGAAATATACACTGCTTGCGCTCTGACTGGCTTTAACTGTTTTAGCAGCATAGTTTCGAGTGCTGTCTTCGGAATGTTTTTTAAAATCGCTTTAAATTTTCCTCTTTCATCTAGAATAGACCTGTCAAATACCCCTTCTGATAACCTTAGCATCTTACCCTCTTCAAAATGCACAGCCCAGGCATTTGTAAACATAGCTTTTCTTCTTTTGTTCTAGAAAGTTATATTGAAGAAGACGGCTTTCTTTGTTCCTACAAATTCCCAGTGTTTAAATTGTACTCGACTATAAAAATGCAGACATCTTCGCACTCTCATTGCTTTAACTTCTGCTGGTATGTCCCAAAGAGTATAACAGATTTTTG